CAATAAAATTTATACTTACTCTATGATGAAAAAAACTTGAACATAGAGCCGCTAACATACTTAGAATAGCCAAAAAACATGCATATTGTATAGACATAGTGGAGCATGGTTCAAAGAATCTCATTAAAGATATAATTAATAATGGTTGAGTCAGGATTCCTATTCTCTTTTTAAAAAAATGATTAAATAAAATAACATTCAAAAAATAAAACTTTTTTTTTTTTTAATATTTTCTCACTTGAGGAATTAATAGAGAACCAAGTAAAAATGGTTTTGATCTAATTGTACGAATTGTAGCACGAAAAAGATTCGGTTTTCTAGGATGATGTTTTATTTCATCAAACCAATTATTTTCTAAGTTTTCTGTAAGTTTAATTGACTCATATTCAGGAAGAAGATCATAAAGATCAGTCAGATGAAGTGTTTTCTGTCGATGACTTGTATCAAATAATTGAGATATCCAACTAAAAAAAATAGTTTTATTTTATAAAATTCAATTGATCATAGAATATAAATATTCACCTATGAAATATTCGTGACCATACATTTGCAAATAAAAATGGACTTGGCTTAAATTGTTGTTGAGATGTCATTTCGAATAATTCTTTTTTTTTTTGTCTTTGTAGCAAAAATAATGTCTTCCTCGTTTTATATATATATATGTCCTAGAAAGTTACTTCAAATCAAATAAATAATAAATTAATTTTTGACATTAAAATCGTGATATGTATAATGTGTGGTTTCCAAAATCTTGTCTGGAAAGTTCTATATATTTTAAGATTGAATCATGGATGACTGAGAAATCAAAACTGAAAGTTATATTGGAAATGTTATGTGAAACTATCAAAAATTACAAAAGTAAAAGGTGAAGAAGTTCATGATATTTATAAAAATGAACCATAATGCAATATTCGAACTGTTGCAAATATTTGCTCTATTACTTGAATATCAGCACATCAAATTGTGATTGAATATCTTCTCGTTGGAATCGTAGAAGGTCAAATTCGTTTGTGGAATGGAGCAAACTACTGTAACAACTTGAATACTTAATTGTGATTCATTCTTATAAACATCATAAGCTTTGTCGTTTTTTTTTCTTCTGCAATTTTGATGGTTTTCCAGAATGTTCTCCATGTCATTTCCAGTTTTCGTTTCACAAAAACAAAAATGATTCGAATTCGATTATTTTAAAAATATTTTGTTTCTAATATTTATAGACATAGACATTTATCTGAAAATATACAAAACAAAACTTTAAAGGACATACTCACATATTATTAAAACGATATAATTGTTGATATCTATTCGAACGATGCTTAGAGTATATTACTACGATTTTTCTTTGAATCGCGTCATTCATATTGACATAAAATAATCAGACTAATGATAAATTTAAGATAAGCAAGTAACTGAGAATAACAGTTAAAGTAAAACTAAAGTAGGGAAAACTTTGTCTGCTTGATCTTATCTAATATATTCTTCATTAAAATTAACTTTACTGATATAGTTTATTTTGAATTAATGCATAAATTATATTCAAAAATATGATAAGTATAAAAAAATTCTATTGGGTACAATCTTTATCTGACCTCATATGAGTCAAAATTTGCTAAGCACTTAAACTGTCCCTCTATGAAATATTTTTTGTATTCATATAAATTTTAACTATTGTTTATATCAAAACATAGTTTTGTATAGATGAATTTTATTAGCTACGAAAATGAATGTTTTATCTGAAGTCTTAATAAAATCATATACATTACAGCGTCTTGATAAATTACTTGAAAAATGTTCTGTTCTTTTTTTTTTTTTGCAAAACTCTTTCGCGACAATTCATGTAATAATTATTTTTTGTTGATCTGAAGTCATTTCGAAAAAAAAAAAACATTATGTCAAAATTGTAATTTCGATCGTATGGTTCGATAAAGTTACCACTTTGTTAATTTTTTGTCTACGAAATTTTTTAAGTTCGTTAGCCATTGTATAATTTCTCGATGATATTTATACAGCGACAGTTTTTTTTTTTTTCTTAAACTGATAAGTATTTCAAGGTCTCTTTTTTTTTATGTGAATTTCATCAAGTAGATCAAGAAAAGAAAGTAATCATATTATTTGATTACTATTCTTAAAAGGTCAGGTAGCTTGTAAAAAACAAGTATAACTAAATTTTTATTTATTATCAGATAACAAACATAAATCTTGAAAGTATCGATACAATTACTCTTTTCTTTCTAGTTAATCATAAAAAGGTATTGAATATTGTCACCCAATTGATACAATTTAAATGGGATGTCCTAAAAGTTCATTGAGAAAGTTAACATAAATGTCTCTTAAATAATTTAAGCGAAAAAATTATTGTGAGATAAATTGACAAAATAAAACTAATGAAACATCAATTTATGACTATGATTTTTTTTTTATAACTTCTCTCTAGAGCTTTCATCTTGAAGTAGCTAAATCATACTTGCACCAGCGTATACCAATTTTCTTTTCTTTTTTTTTGATGAATACATATAATTGATGCATCTATACTTTCAACGTACCGTGGTGTTTTCCTATTCTTTTAAGTATAGGTACAATATTCATTCACCTTTATCTAATAAAGCAACATCAGTCCTAGCATTTGTTTGAATGGAATGATATCATATCTATTGTTAAACATATCTACCTCTTATGATATGCTTATGTTTTGCTCAATGGTAATATGATTCAGCTATGATCTTCTCTTGTAATTCTTTCATGAGCTTCACCAAGGTTAACTGTTATGATATCTAGCTAGCCGTTACTTTTTAAATTAACGATGATCAGAAACTAATCGTTGGGGTCTATGATGAATTGTAGAGAAACTGCTTTTGCTCTTATGTAGGATTAATATATTTCGGTCACAAAGCATCGTAGAAAGCTGAAAAGTGTTCTATTTTGTACACAATCGTTCGCTCTATTATTCAGAACAATGAAAACAGATTTCTGTTTGCAAATTTCAAGAACAAAAAAAAAATATAAGTTTTGACTTTTCAGAGACTTTATTCATGGTAAGCTAACAATCATTTTCATTTTTGAAAAATCTTTTTTGGCGATGAGATTATGAATGAAAGTGTAAGTGTATGTAGGTTAGTGAAGAGATGACTCATAACCATACTCATATCTTCTTGTGGGTGTGGGTGTGGGTATTAGTGTCATGTTGGTTTGTGTGATTGAAAATAATCAATCCTATATACGCATGCGCACCCACTCACATCCACATCCACACTCTCTAGTATTAGATGGCGATGAACGAAGCAAATAAAAAATTGTTTTATCTTATCGTGTTTACTTAGATATGAGTTGATAATTGAGAGTAATTTCTAATAATAAATTAGTCAATACTAATGCTTAATCCATTTCATTGTCATAACAAAACCTAAAGTTAAACAAAATTAATCAATTTGATTTATGTATTAGAATTATCATGTTTGATTGTTATTTATTATTGTTTTATATGACGAGATACTAGTTTATAAAATGATTGTTTTTGATAAAAAGAAATATGAAAACATTTGTCGTGAATTACAAGTTTTAGAGAATTGGTTTCGCTGATGCACCATGTTTGCATACTTTCTTGCCAAAAATAACAACTTCATGTAATGCATAAAATTCGACAAATGAATAACCTAAGAGGACAAATGGTGTGGTGATGAAATGAAATAAATTTCGTGGAATAAAAATACATTCATCAACATGCATTAGTTTGGGAATGAATGCATCGATGAGAAATGCAATTGAAAATGTTAACATTTGTAAAGCCAATAGACCATACATAACATAAGTGATAACTGGTGGAACATTTTTGATAAGTAAAGTCATTGATAAAGTCGTTGTTAGACCAAACAAGCCACCAGTACATAATAAAATACCATAGTAAATAATAAAAGTAATGCCCCAAGAACATGCAGCTATTTTTGGCATTCGTCTTGCTTTGATGACAAAATAATGGAATACTTCAGCTGCTCCAATTGTCCAACGACGTGCTTGTCTTGCCCATTCTATGATTTCTTTTTCGATTGTTTCTCCAGATGTGGGTCCACTCAATACTGGTACAGGTATCATTGATATTCGCAATCGTTGTTGTGTTACACCCATCCATCGAATGAGACAAATAATATCGTCCATTTGATAGCCAGGATGAACGAAATCTCCTTTTTTTGCTAGACTTAATGAGAATGAGAAAATGCTCATTGTATTAATATTGAATGGGATAAGTGCACCTAACATAAGAAAACTTCGTAACAACCCCGTTACACGAGTAACAAACGATAGACCATCCAATTTCCAGTTATAAAACAAAGGTGACTGATAGATAGTGCTTAGTGCTGGCCGATTCTCTGTTAAATATTTGTTAGTTAATGCAGCAATATATTGAGGTGGAAATTTAGAATCTGCATCACAAGTTGTCACCAAAATATTGTCCATTTCATCATCAGCAATATTCATTTCTTTGACGGCCATACGTAGACCATAATTTGAATTAGAACATTTTCCAGGTATTTCATTAGGCAAACCATATGGATGAATTGTAAATATCATCCGTTCGAAACCACAATTTTGAAATTTTTCTTGAAGAAATTGACATTTCTTTTCTTTATCTGGCGTTCGCTGTTCAAATGAGATGACCATTATTATTCGATGAACTTCTGTTTGATCTGCTAGCGTTTGAACACTTCTTGCAATCAAATCTACTGGTTCTTTGTAACAACTAATAGCCACAATATGACGAATGGGTATCTTCTCGTAAGTAGTATATTCTTTAGCAAAATTACGAGAATGATTCAGGTACAATATTAAAGAATTTTTCAGTGCCAATATTGCAATAACTACAAAATAAATAGTTTACAAATTAATATGTACAATAGAAATATACACTTGCCGATCCACATGAAAACGAATACACCTTGGATGCATGGTAATAAATAATAGGTAAGATTGTTGAATACAAAAGGTATCCAAAATGGAAGTGGTACAATCAACCAAACAAGAAAATTAAACAAAAGATTCCAACGAAATCTCTGACTACCTGTTTTCATATTGCGATGAGAACTTTGATCTGTTTCAACAATAGTATATTGTGGTATGTCTGAGACAACGACAACATTATTCTTTTGATTTTCTGGTACTAATATGGCACGAGTAATTGTCGATGTCTCTAATAAGTCATTATTATGTTGTGCTTTATTTTCAAGATTATTAAGTTTGTGTTCACCCTGCGATGCGAGCTGACGAGGGAACTTCTTCTTTGACTGTTGATCATGTCTAATAGCTGTTCGAAAATATTGTTGACGTGATGATGGAATTATCAACTGTGTCTCATTTTCTTCAGTGATATAAGCATAATTTTGACGACCTTGTTCACTAAAAAATCGTCCCAGTATTTTTGGATTGGAGCTCATTATTGAATGAGTATTACTTTCAATGGTAAAATTTTTAAAAAAAATGAATCTTTTGTTTCGTTTTTATATGTTTGTTCCATAGCCACTTCCTTTAATGGCCCTTTCATGAGACACTCCAACAAATCCAGTGCATTATTGTTTTTTTTCCTTCCGCGATATCGGAAAATAACAACAAGATCAAATGACATCTTGTTGTAAGAGAGATTATCAGGACAGAATAAAACATTAATCCCATTCATCTAAAAACAAAGATTAGACACACAACCACATATCACGTATGTCTATGTAAAAAACATTGATTTACATTTATTATGTGTCACATATGTTTTTGGATTTCGTCATTTGATGATTTTACGTATTTCCGTCATGGAGTTTTTATAAGGGCTTGACGATGTCCTTAAAAACGAGACATCATACCATTACACAGCAGTAATCACAACTTAACACAGTTTTCAATGAATGTACTAGCCAATATCAAGTCAGTATCGTCGAAGATTTTCGTGTTCGAAACCTGTTCATTGTCAGTATAGACCGTTTTTATATCTTTGAAATATCGCTATGACATCGTCTAATACAGAAACAATTTTTTTGTTATATGAAATAGTATCCCATTGACATCAATCAGATGTTCTAGCGATCTGGACTAGGAATCAACAATTTCAGATTACGAAAATCTCCGACGACTTTGCTTGGATGTTGATCACTATCCACGTTTAAATTTGTCTGGGACAAAGATTTCTTTCTGAGTAATGGTACGATGTTTCGTTTTGAGGAATATTATCAACTAACTGGTATGTGCTTTTTTTCTTTGTTCCTTCCTATGCATTCATGAATTATTCTATATTACCATCTTTTTCTTGATCTCATTCCGCTATACTAATATATTCTTACTTCGTTCTATTAGTATTTTTCTATTGAAGTGTCCGTTTTTTTAAAACCTGAAATAGTGACTTGAGTTGATCGATGAAGAGCTTGAGTATGTGGTAAGTAGAAACAAGAACAGCTATGTTTCAGATTGTTTTTTTTTCTTTTTAGTGTCTTCATTTTCGAGATTATGCTTTTAAATCATTTAGACAAGTTTTCTGAAGTTGAGAAAGTCATTTAGAACATTGTTAAGACACTTGTTTTGAATGTTCTTCTTTATTACTGTCGGTCAAATCAAAACGAATTGCTATTTCTTTTTAATGAATAGTTCTTCAAATAAGTCGACACAGAGTCACAGTTGTTCTGTGACTACTCGGAAGTAAAAATTCCGATTTGTTCGAAAAATATGTCAAAGTATCTCTTCACAGTCTTCTTTACAAAGATAGCTAGACAAATGTCGATGAATTATTTAGCCTATATCGAGAGATTAGTAGAAAGAAGGTCGAGACTAGATGAAAAGATTGTGACAGTCATATCAAATGTCCTCAAGAGAAGTATAAAACATTTCATTACTACTGAATTAGATTATAAAGCATTAATTAGTCTATTATTTTCTCATTCACCATAAAATGAACCATTCTTCAGTACTATACAATGAACTACGAATGTCTTTTGATCACTTATTACATATATGCTGAAAGTTTTTTCATGCTGTGATAACTATGAATCATTTTATAGTCCTATTGACTAAGTATCATTATCTAGGTAGTTTCGTTTTTAACATGTGCTTTTATCAAAGACAAAAAAAAAGAGTCCAGAGACGATATTACTGTATATTCCTTCTTGAAAACCCTCTCGAGATCTCTCACGACAACGCTCATTACAATTCCTTCAAAGTCTTTAGATGGATACTCGGATATTTGTTTTCCCTTAGTTGCATAAATAAATAGTGTCACATTTGGAAAAATTCTACATTATAAACTTCTGTTCATTAACAGAATAACACGCTCTGAAACTACTTAATGTAGTAATTTGTTTGTACTGAATGAATTATTTGTTGTCAAAATCTATTGTGTGAGTTAATAAACATGTTTTCCCATTGTAGTACGAGAGCAATAAATGATATCTTTATACAGAAAAAGATAGAATTCGAAAAATAATGATAAATCATTGTTTTATGTTGTTTTTCGAAATGAATTTTGAATAGAACAGTTCTTTCATGTCTTTCATATCTAGCGCAAGAGGCTGATTCACGGAGCGGTAACATTTTCTCTATTATCATAGATAATATGACGATACTCTTCATCCTGTTTTTTGAACAATATTACTCTATTAAATTTAAGAAAAATACTGTTGAAACATCTGAAGTACCTCAGCAAAATGTTGAGACTCAATCGGGCAACATCTTCGAGTGGCAGTGAGCGAAATGAGTTGAGTCATTTTGACTATTTTATACACTAATGAGATAATCATATTTCCCTACAACATCCACTTCAAGAAAAAAAAAGAAAGATTCGTATCAAACCCTATTTTGTTGTCTACATGAATAACATAAGTCTAATCAATGTACTATGATACCTTTATTCCTATACATAACTCTTATAGTCATATTCTCATGCTTATTGATATGAATCTCTCGTGCAGAATAGTTTGTAGAAAATATGCAGAACATTTTTCTTTTTGTCAAATGACGAACTGAATAAAAAAAAAACAGTTTGACATGAAAAGCATAAAACACCTTTCATTTTACAAAACCTAAAAAAAAGTTGATATGTAAATACGATATTTTTCAAGTTCAATAAGAAATCGATTATTTTAGAGTGTACCGTCTCTTCTAATTTCGAACGGATAATAATTGCGATTCTTACAAGAAAAACAGCATAATTCGTACGCCTATGTACTTCTAAGTGCTCTAATAGTCCCCTGTGTTAGAAGAAAAGAAGTACCTCTTAATTATAAGTTCAAATTCATAGATTCTTTTGTTTCTTTACAATTTTTAAAGTGAAAAACGTTTATCTACACACAGCTGACTTGCTGTTGAGAGGGTGTGAATGTTGCTAACATGAAGAAAAATAACTCATATATGCCCATGAATGTAGAAACTGTATTCTCCATCTGGCTTAACATTATGCGAGCATTGCTTACTTTTTTTTTCAATTGTCTTACATAATGTCGATTATCAACTCATGCGATATACTATATGAAGATATCACTTGAATCTATTGTTTTTCTTTTCAGATTAGTGTGATATGAATTATAATTCAATGAATATTCTCGTAATATGGATATTGTTGCTGCTGCAGCTGACGGTAACTCTAAAATTCTCATTTCTTGATTAGGATTTCTCGTACATGAGACCACGAAAATCTAACAAATTCTGACACCATTTTTTTTTGTGCCACAATTAATTCATTACAGCGTTACATTTTACTAAAGATGATTGTGAACTTCTGACTTCATTCGTTCTGGAATTTAGAAAAGTATGCATCGCGCTAAGCTCTGTCCAAAATCATAATCAGGAAGTTCATATGTGCTTTAACACAAGCGTACAAGCGACATTATTTCGTAGTATAAAATGACGACTTGGCGTGAGTAGCCCAACATTTTAATGCTGAAAATATTTTATACATGATACATTAAAAGCCAAGATGAGTGCAGATGATAATGATCAAAAATTTCGTGTGTTAATAAGCATTAAAATTTCAAAATACGAAGCGATCGAATTTCAATAGGGATTTTTTTCTTAGTTTTCATCTTTCAATTGAGACTTGCACAAAGCTATATAACAAAAAAAAAGATTTTCATAACTTGAAATAGACCTGATTCTTATTTACTTCTTTGTAGGTATCAGAAATAATTGGAACTTCTCATAATCAATTAAATGGTGATCATGGAAGTTACAGTCCAACTTTTGAAAAGAAATTAATTGAGGAAAACCGTTACGATGGATACTGGGTTGAAGCTTTTCAATTTGATAATCAAAGTGTTATAGGATTAATAGCGTTTGGACTTAATAGTGAAGAAATAAATTTTTATCAAAATCCATCCATAACAACACAATCAGGCAACCGTACTCTTATTCAAAAGTTCAATGGTCCAGTAGCCATGGATCAAGCTGATATAACAGGTGATGGTCTTAATGATATTCTTATCTGCTTTCAATATGGTAATACAATGCTAGACAGCGATCCTGAAGGAGGAAAGATTGTTTGGTTAGAAAATCCTGGACGAAATGTCGATAAAGACCTATGGAAAATGCATTATGTAGGAAGATCCACAGCTATGCATAGATTTAAAGTTGGTCATTTTACACAAACGAAACGTTGGGAAATTTTAGGTTTACCTATTGCTAGCAAGCCATATGATTTAGTTTCGGCAGTGCCTATATTATTATTTCGACAACCTGATGATTTACTCAATGCTACCGAATGGCCTTTTGAAATAATTGATCAGGATTTTTTTCATTTAATTCATGATGCAACACGATTTAATAATGATCAATTAGATAGTCTTCTTGTTGCATCACGCGAAGGTATTAATTGGTTTTATTTTAATCAAAATTTGAACAAATGGATGATTGAGAATATTGGACATGGTGAACAAGAACAAAAACAACAGACAACTTATTATGGTAGTGGTGGCATCGATTTTGGACGAGTTGGAAATGATTCTTTTGCTTATTTGGCTGCTATAGAACCTTTTCATGGCAATGTGATTGCAGTCTACATTAAAAGCATGGACAATTCGTTGAAAAATATCTATTGGAACAGATATATACTGGATATCTATGGATATCCTAATGAATATGGCGAAGGTCCAGCTCATCATCTCGTGTGTGCTGATTTTGACAAAGATGGAGATTATGAATTTTTAGTTGCACTTCGTGGTCCATCTCCAAATCAAGGTGTCTTTTTGTATAAGGCAATTGATCTCTCGCGCGGTTTATTCGCCAAATGGAAAGTTAGCGAAGATTCAGCTGCTAGAATTGCCGTTGCCGATTTCGACTATGATGGTCTTCTTGACTTTGCAACTATTAGCTACAGTGTTCCTGGTTATTACATAGCAAAAAATCCTTCTATTAGCATCTTTTATAATCGATTCGCTCAAAATGAATTACAAGCTAAAAAAGAAATACAGGTAGTGAAGCAAAACAATGATCTTTTATTCAAAGTTCCAAGATCAAACAAAGCATCTCAATATCAAACCCTACCATTTATTACAATAGATGGAATAACTTTATCATTAGAAATTCTTCCACCTCATAGTTCACGTCATGTAGACAACACCACTTATATTAAAGTTCTTTCTGGAAGAATAATTTGGACTGATTCTTCGAAAAAATCACATCAACCTGTCAATCACTCACGCACATTTCTCTTTAAGCCAAGAACTGCTGCATCTCTTGAGATACATAGTGATAATGATAGAATTGCAACTGGAAGTGAAGGTGCTCTTCTGATTGTATTTGAAACACGTGATAAAAGTAATAACATTCATCGAATCGAAGATATTCAAAAAATTCTTATTGAGAACTCATTACCAGAATACTCTCCTCAAGATGCTCGTAAGCTTACTTTTCAATTTATCAGATATGATCAATATGACTCAGCACAACAGTTCAAAGGTCTTGAATTTTACAATATGAAAGGTTTTAGAATAAAATTTGCTGATAACGACGAACAGCTTTGTTACATGCAAATGTGGGCTGCTGGACAGGGTGTTAATGCTGGTGTACACAATCATGCAAAGGATTTCTTCTGCGAAACTCATGTCTGTCTTATAAATGGAAGTGGACAAGGCGGTATACATTATCTTAATGACTCCAAGGAAGATTACGATCCACTTACTACACCAGACTCAGTATTCGAAAAGTTAATAGTACCATCTTTTTATGAACAGGGTCCTCTATGGGAAATCGATGCACAAAATAAACCAGTTTTGCGAAATGATAGTACTGTAGTTTATCCTTGGCACAAGTGGCAAGCTGGCATCGATAGATCGTTCAATCAATCATATGATGTTTGGATAGTTTTTGAATTCAATAGTCAACTGTCAACGCTGCCTTCTTAAATGAAGCAAAATAAGCATTTACGAAGATTCTTGTCGTTCATATTGATTATTAAAATCTTATTTCAAATTGATTTGTTCAGTTTATATACTCAAGTGATTTTTCAAATAAACATTTTTGTGTCACACATAGATATTTTGTTCTTTCTGAGTTATTTGCGAAAGCTATTTTTTTAAGTAGAAGTAAGATCTACTTCAGTTTGTTCTCATGCTTTAGTAATAATATTTGCCAGCGTTCATTCAGTTATCATAGATACTTGTGGTATGATATAAATCTCGATTAACAATATCATGAAAACCATGTTCTCGATATGAATAATAAAATATTTAAAATATTTTATTATCATAAATTTTTTCATGAGAATTGCATTAGAATCGTCTGTACGAAACAAAACTACAAAAAAAGAACTTCAATGCATCTTAAAAGTAAATGTGACAAAGAAAAAAATAATAACCATTATGATTAGGATAACGTCTGTGAAAAAGAGAAGCAAAATATTAAGTGACAAACATACTTTTGTAACGATTGAAAAGGATCCAACTATTGAACAAGAAGATGAACTAAATCGAATTTCGTTTAAATTACAGAGAGCAAATTCTATCAGTGAAGAACAATATTGATTTGATCGTGCAAAAAGATCAAATTTTATTACAATCTAGCAAAACTACATATGATGAGTGAATTGTTCGAATTGTAATGCATCATATATGGGAAAAACCATTAGACAAGCTAATAAAAGATAAAATAAATTGAAAAGATAAGAAAATTTTATATCAAACCACACAACGTTATTAAGGATTCGTATGAGGACCATAATTGATCTTGGATAGACAAGTAACATTAAATAGAACAGGTCGCTCGGCAACACTAGATGTCTATATAGAGAATTTACACTCCGATGAATCAAAAGTAAAGATTAAACAGTGACTAATATATGCCAGGAGAGCGAGATAATTTGTTTTACAAGCATGTCTAACGCTAACTCGGTCCATAGCATAGATATTTCTTAGACCTTTTAATTGGAGAAACTAATAGATGATTAATTTCTTTTTAATTCTTTGTCTTTTACACATTTTTTGTTACTCATTATACATCTGTTTTTGATAATGACAGTAGAACTGTTAAAACCTCGACAAAGTATCTAAATTAATAGTTTTGTATTATAGTCAATTTAATGTATTCACGGCTTGTAGCAACTGTTAGAATTGTTGAAGGAGGAGTCCCTTACGTACCTCGTACAGACATTGTGATGTAGGTTTATTAAATAAATGTTAAAATATGTTTTTAAAGATGTTGTGCAATTAATGATGTACTTCCTTTTTTTTTTGAAAACGGAACTCGCCATACATCTACATTAATTATTCATGATTCAAAAAAAACAAGTTGTCAACCTTGTCAAATATTTGCTAATCATGTGCTGCTGTGTCTTCAGCCAGTGATGGAAAAGAAAAGAAAAAAAAAATTGTTTTTATGTTTCTTCGCCACTCTACTTGCGTCGTCATCATGACGATGCAAAAGAAAAAAAGAAAAGAAAAATATAATAACACTGTAAGTTCTGCATTACGATGAAACATGCATTGAATGTGGCAAACTGTTGTGTACGAAAGAAACTATGTCACAATCAGAGTGTCGCTGAAAAATGTCTACTTACTCTTCCACTAAAAAATCACTGTCATGTGGTCTATAATTTCTTTTGTTTCACAATGAATATTATGCGTTTACCTACCTAGTGATACAAAATAGTCGATAAAATGCTTTTTTTTATGGATTCAGCTAGACGAGTAGTATATTTTTGTGTTTGCCGCTATAGATCGGTAGATTTTCTATATCTTAAAAACTTTCATAGAGCATGAATACTGCTTTCAATAAAATATTCGAATAAGGTAATTTGTCATTTGTCGAGGAGTTAGAGTATTAAATAAGTATCAAAGAACCATTTTTTATTTTTTTACTTTGGACTTGTAATCATAGAATGATCTATCTGCGTAAATACTACATTTTTTTTTGTTTTGATCAGCTAGACAGACAAGCTATTGCAATAAGGTATGCGCTTTCTTTCTTAGTAAACAGAAAATGGTGATCAAGGAAGAGAGTTTCACATATTTGGCTTTGTATTCTAGATTCAATTTCGAAAAACATGTCGTCGTCTGTGTTTGTATTTGGTGCCAGTGGTTACATTGGTCTTGGTGTAGCTTTGGCCATGCGTCGCGCTGGCTATCGAGTGTATGGAATGATTCGTAATGCGAAATATACTGCTACGTTAGTGCAAAATGAGATCGAACCTATTGTGGCTTCGTCATTTGATGATGTTCGACAAGTTGACGATACTCTTGTCTCATGCTCAATTATTATTGATGCTATTGGATTCAATCAAAAATTGTCGCCTAAACTTTTAGAAGCAGCTTGTCGTGCAGGAAAGAGTCGAACTCAAGATGGAAAATTAGCACACTATGCTCCACTGTTCATCTTCACTTCAGGAATCATGACTTGTAAGTTTATAATAATTTGTGTATTATTGTGTTTATTCAACTATAGTATTGAGTTGCTCTAATCATGTTCTACCTAGACGGTGATACATCTTCAACGGGTCGTCGCCCAGTCGATGAAGCAGTCAAGCCACGACTTCAACCAGTTAAAACTCGTGACAGCACTTCTTCGGCTGATGTCACAAACATGAAAGAACGGGAAGACTATGAAAATCAAGTCTTGACAAGTTCTTGCACCTCGCTCAAGACAACAGTTATTCGACCTGGCTTCGTTTACGGTGGTCAAGGTGGTTTTGTGGCTGATTTATTCTATTCAGAGCCGCTAGTCATTCAAGGAAGAAGAGATATGCGTTGGAGCTGGGTTCATCTCGATGATCTTTCTGAAGGCTATGTTGCTGTTGCACGAGCTCCACGTAGTGTTGTTAGTGGACAACGTAAGATTCTTGGACGACAGAATACAACAAATTTGAACCTTGAATTTTGTTTCTAGTTTATAATCTTGCCGCTCCGAACGATAATCCGACGTATGAAGAGCTACGAGCAGCCATGGCTAAAGCTCAAGGTCGAAAAGAGAAGATTGAGTATAAAGAAGCCGTTGATGGTGTTCCATCAAGATGGGATACGGATTCGTAAGTTTTCTTTCTCGATTGAGTCATGAAAGACTATTGATTGTCGTTTACATAGAATAATCAATCCAGCCAAGGCTATGAACGAGTTAGATTGGCGACCAAGACATGTAGGTTTTGTTGAAGAAATCGACACGTATTACAAAGCTTGGGCAGCTCATAAAGCTGCTAACAAGGAAACCAAGTAGTTTTGCTTTTCAATTTTTTGTTTGACTATTTAATTTGAAAAAAACAAAAAATATAGAATTATTCGAGATATTCAATGGCATTTTTTTGCGTATCGTTTGTCATCGCAAACGACAATCGAATTTCATGGCATCAGATACACCTTGACAAGTGAATAATTCCGTCCTATATTTGAATAGAATAGACAAATCGGGTGTGTACTGAGGCGGATAATAAACGATTACAGCGAAGTGTGAGCGCCGGTAAACTTACACCATTATTTCAAGTTTTTCCGAGAAGAAATACGTTTAAATAATATTTTTCTATTTTACTTTGATCACGGAAAAATAAGTTGTAACTTGGAAAATCATTTTGAGCGTTTATTTGGCGATTTTTAGGGATCAAGATAGCCTCGTTATAAATTCAAATGCGACAATTAAACTGAAAAACATTTTTTTCTTCGGCGACCTATATGAAAAGTAAGGTGGTCTCTCCTAGATACTATTAAAGTGAATAAAATTTTTCAGAAGCAATCATGACAAGCCCAAATCATTGTTAAAAACGACAATGAATGGCATAGAGAGAAAGAGAAAGTTTCAGACAAGAAAAAGCTCAATTTAATTATGTCATTAGTCTTCTATTCACTTTCTTGATCGAATATTGCACGGTCGTTATTTACTTAGTTTCGAATTTGATTGTTTACATCAAATTAGTTTTTCGTTAAGTCCAGAATTCGCTCACAAATCTTTAGAACGAATTATCAAAAGAAGATAAATTAGGAACAACGGTTTTCAAAAAAAGTGAAATGACACATTGATCATTCGATTTAATTATGTAACGAAGAACAAATAAAATATGATTGAGAAAATATAAAATAAACTTTGTCATTATTTTACATTTGAGTATACTTTTCTTTTAAGTTAGAAAGAGTATCATAGTGATTATCAAAAAATCAAGTTCTTTGGAAGCTGAAAAACACCACTGATGACTTCGTTTTAGAACATATGAGTTGATCTTCGATTTTCTACTACAAATTTTCATTTTCATGTATGATAATCAAGTTATTCCTATGGTTTTTCAAGGAACACGAAGATCTATGATTTCATGGAAACTTGAATCTACAAAATCTAGGAAAAATTATTGTAAGAGCTAAGAGATTGATTTGCTTTCCAAATATTCAATATTTACTCTTCTCAACTCTATGTCCAATTTATAACAAACATGCTAATTTCACAACACTCAACAAGTTGTTTCTCCTTAGTATTGTTCTTTCTTTCAAGTGGAATTTGAATTCGTCAGCTAATAACGACTAATATATACGAACGACCAGAAGAGAAGACGGCTCTAAAACAATCATAAGGATCTCAAAAATCGGAAGACTTGTTTTGACTTCACTCTTCTTAGAATATTTCATTTTTTCTATTTCAAAATAAAATGGATGCAAATTTCTTTTAGTTTAACCTTTGTTGACAGATGCTCAACAAGAAGAAGTATTTATTTTAAATGGAAGAAGTTTATGCAAGGGTGTGGATAGAATATGGATCAGTGGTCGAATCTAACTGAGTTTTATTGGTTCCAGTTCGGTTCGATTCATTTTTGTTTTCTAAAATCCAGTTCGAATTCGACTTTGTTCGAATCCATTTTGGGAAGGACGGCTGCAGTTTGATTCGCATTTGTTTTATTCAAATCATTTTGAGTTCGGATTTGGTTCGAGTATATTGCCAA